ATATATATATATATATATATATATATATATATATAATATACTCTGGATAATCACGAACGAAAATTTAACTAGCAGACACAGCCAATAAACCAGCCAATGGGGAAGATCTGCGGTGTCTTTGATGACGGGTGAGGGCTCAGTAAATCAAAACTCAAATTCTAGAAAATTAGCTTGATAGTAATTCAACAATTAAGGACTCTTGGGGGGTGTTAGCATCCCCAGCATTGAACTGTGGAACTTTCGCGTTTTGTTGGCATTACGTGGTGTAAGTCATTTGATTCTCAATGCACTTGAAGTGGATTTGTGGCCCTTAAGGTCTATTGGTTATTTGATATCCGTTCGGGAAATTCCTTATGGCGCTTTGCCTCCCCCCTCTCTGGCACATGAATCGGTCTAACTGGGTTTGACTTCGAGATCATATGTGTATTCAATGTGCGGCTGACCGAGCCGTTTGGACTTCGAATTTGTTTGCTATGTCTATTTGGGTTTCTGAGACGTTAAAAATTGGATAAATCTGTATCCAGCTACGACAGTCTAAAAGACGTGATAATTCAATGTAACCTAATGGCATCCACACATAGTGTACTAATGACTATACGGGGATAATCAAACTTTTTAGATCCCGTACTCGCGTCAACTTTGGTTTATGTGAATGTAGTGTGCTCTTTCACAAAATGGCGTTCTTTATGGAGAACTATCTTACTATAAATAACTACAAGCAGGCACTATCTCATCTTTCCACAAACGATCATCTCATCCAGTCAGTATCGTCGATCCCGTAAGCTCCAGAGTAACAGGTTAGTTTTCATTTCAGTCATTCGCAGAAAGAGCTTCATGAATCACACACAGGCCGCAGCTATCCATGTTTGGTTGTCGGAATAAACTTCGATCCGTTTTGGGTTCCCGTCATATGTGTAGTAATGGGAATGATGTAGAGCAGTCTTATAAATTGATGTGACGACATTACTGGTCTGGGTATGATGTTACGGGAACCTGTCTGCAGTTCCCATGTACGACTCGGCTTAAATCGTAAATCTCCCTCCGCGAAAGTTGGTTCGGGGTCCGGTAACCGATTGAATCACCCTGAGACAGTGGGATTTTTCTCTTTAGACGAGACCGGAGACTTTTGGATTCAAAAGTGTAATGTTTTGGGATAATTCTTATTGACCCTGTTTGTTTGATTTTGTTGTTTGTTTTGCTTTTCGCTAATAACCTAGTATTATCTTTTATCGACAGCAAGTGCGTAATCATTACATTTATTTTGACGCTGCAAGACGCGTTTAATCCTGTGTTCGGGCTTAATAGCGTTTCTGCACCCTAGGCTGCACATGGGACACTGGCGTTCCCAAATAATCCTGTCCTACGACCAGTTCCAGAGTATTTTGAAAGGGTTCAGGGCGTTTTTTTGGAGCATTTTCCCTCGTTTCCTGAGCAATCATCTTCCCGCCTTTCCAACTTTTCTTCAGACAAATCTGGACCTGCTTCCACAGCGCTTCGGACCTGGTCCAATAGCTCGTGTGATGCATAACCTCCTAACTCGGTTAGTTAGTGCGGCCTATAGGCCTATCCGAGTGCTTCGCATGTTTGAGGCCGACTGGGCCAGTGGGATGTCATCGGCGCTGACCAATCTACGCACTGCTCAACGTGCCAACAGTGCTGGCGGTGATTCTACTGTGGTCACTCGTGGTCGATACAACCTCCAGACTGCCAGGACTGCTTTTAGGCACGCAGAAGCTGATACAATTGAGCAACGTCGGGTCGGTATGCGCGTCGTAATCCTGCGTATTCGATGCCCCAGACGAGGAATAAAAATCGAGGCCCCAGTAGAAGTTTGTTGCCGTGTTCGGGCTGTTGAAGAATTTTGTCGTCAGGTAGGTAATCTTTTATTTGTGTCATCAACAGTTTCGGGACACATTCCCGGTGCTCGCTCGCACAGCAGTTCACTTTTCGCACTGTGATGTGATCGGATGGCTACTTCCAAACTACTTGTTTGTTCCCAAACCAGTAATTTAGTTTCGCACTGCGGTCGCAAATTGCCCACACTAGGCAGTTTTCTGTAGCATATTTACCTCATCACTAAATTCATCTGTGTGCACATTTCGAATGCCCACATAACGCAGTTGTGTTACTGGATTCTCCTTTATAGGTATCCCTAGTTCTCGAAGCCTGCCCACATCTAATCAGTCTAAACGCACCTTGTCTCGGTGAGACATCTGACCATCCCCAGTCCCATGTAAATGAATCTCCTGCCCTATGTGTGACCCAACAAAATGCCGATCATAACAACTTGTCTGAATCTAATGAGTTCGACTTCAGTTCGCACTGTCATGCAAACGAATGTCCTTCGTTCTGTGCAAGCCGGTTACGCTCTCGCAATTTGGATCGCCTTCCAGCATGGAAACGGCGTATGTACGCTTCGTTGCGTCCATTTGGAGTCCAACCTCCATCATCAGAAAGCAACTGGCAACTTCCGGCACGTGGATCGTCCACGGTACTCGCTACCACTCTCCGCACACGTTCTGCGGTGGCGGCAGCCCAACGTCAACAACACGCACTAGGACGGGCGTTGTCTCCAACACATGTGTTTTCTGGACTCATAAATGGTCAACCTATTACGAGGGCTCCTAGGCGCCAGCGAGGTCGTATTGCAGGCAGGTTCCGTGGTTCTCATCTCCGTCGACATTCTGGTCAATTGTCGATGGACACTGATCTGCGTCACCATCTTCCTGGTTGTCTGAAAAGACCGCATAATGCGGGGGCTCTCCCTAGGTCAGATCGTATGTATGACTTCTGCACAAACAGTCCCCCTCCTCATCAGCAGTCTATGGACACAAATGGAAGCAATCCCCCAAATGAGAACGGTGTGACGATTTGTGCACAGAAATATCATCCCAACATGCATAATCATATACATTATCCCTGGAGAAATCAACGCATTCCAATCGACCCATACGTTTGCACTTCCTCACGTTTCCGACCCATCCCCCGTCCCCTGCCCCACCATGACGGTTACCTACAAGATGTGAACCTGAATACAATCCTGTCGGACGCTCCTCGGGTCACTCTGTCCAGTAACCCGCTGTTTTGGACCCCGGTCGAGCTAGGCTCGTACTTGGGAGAGACAGACTGCAAAGAGATGTGGCCCTTGTTGGCTGCGGAGGCAGTGGACGGACAGGCCTTCATGCTTCTCACGCTTCCCGTGTTGCACCACCTTGTTGGGCTCCGGTGGGAAGATGCTATTCGTCTTGCCCGTCATGTGGTCTCCGTCAAACGTGCCTTCATGGAACAGTTCAGCACGGAGTCAAACGACAACAATAATGTGATCGGTCGTTCGTCGTAACTTTTGCGATGCCTATCTTTGGATGTATATATTATCCTATCACCATACCTACCAGTGTGCTCCTAAGCCTAATGTTCGTATCTCTTTCCGTTTCCTTATCTCAGGCAACGGGTTACTTTGTGGTTAGACCCGATTTTTTTAAAAACAAAACAAAACTGACCAATGTAAACAGTTGTACATAAAACGTCATAATTTCAATACATGCATTTCTCAGTTTTCCACCATAATTCAAAGAGTCGTCCTACTTTCGGGGTATCTGTTTTCAGACCTATCAAGGAACGTGTAAAATCAAGTCCGTCATTATGTTACGGTCTGTAAAGCCTGCTTTTTGACGTACCCTAAGACTATGCATCTTAGAAGATCAGAAAGAATCGGTTGCAACAAATTGTTGTTTATCTAACACCGTGAGGTCTGTATTAAGGTAAAGACGTGTTGGGATTCAGAAAACCACAGAGACAAGGCATTTCATCCGCATTACTGAATAAGGAGATAGGACACGTAAACATTTGGTTAGCAGGTTCAGTTATCACAGGCCCACAGCAAAAGCACTGTTGAATAAACTGGCCACCGTTATACCATCTTTTGGCATGCGCCTTGTACCTTCAAAGTGCAAAGTCCTGCTTTAGAACGTGCCATCTGCGAACATATCCCTTACAGTTCAAGGGGAACCAGTGGAGATTGTGTAAAACTTTACGTACCTGGGTAGTTGTATAAGCTCTGACGGAAGTGTGTCTGATTAAGTCAGTGCAAGAATCTCAAAGGCTCGAATCACGTTTGCTAATTTGCGTCACTTGTGGCGTCAAAAAGGCATCTCACTGGATCTTAAGGGTCGTGTGTACCAGGCTACAGTGAGGGCTGTGTTGTTGTTGGGTGCAAACATCATCAGTGCGCATCATCAACTGCGTACTGATGATATCTCCTCTTATGGTGACGAAACATTTGCAAGTCAATTGCTAAGCTCGGCGAACAGATCAACAGCCACCTGATGAACCACCAATAAACTCCCCCGAGCTCCCAATATTCCACCACATTCCCAACATCCAGCATCATCGACTAC